AGGAAAGGAGGGAGAGGAGGGGAGAGGGGGAGAGAGAGAGAGAGAGAAACACTGACTTGTTGTTCCACTTATTTATGCATTCATCAGTTGATCCTTGCATGCGCCTTGAATGGCGACTGAACTCAAAACCCTGGTGCTTCAGGATGACGCTCTAACCTGCTGAGCTACCCGCCAGGGCACAATGCCAATTCTTTATGTTACAGATTTCTTTCAAGTAATTTGTCCATTTTATATAAGTTGCCCAACTTACTGGCACATAATTGCTCATGGAATTCCTGTGAAATCATTTCTCTCTCTCTTGGTCGTACTCTCCCCTTTCAGTTCCGGTTCCAGTAACTTAAGTAGTCTCTCTCTTATTTCTTGGTCGATCTAAAGGTTTGTCAGTTTTGTTGATCTTTCCAAAGAATGAACTTGGTTTCACTGATTTTCTCTATTATTTTTCTATTCTTCATTTTGTTTATCCAGCATATAGCTGGATCTTTTTATTTTTATCCAGTCACATGATGTTATTTGATTGAATTGTTTAAGCCACTCACATTTACTGTTACTGATATAGCTGGCTTATGTCTGCCAATTTAATGTTTGTTTTCTATATGTCTTACGTCTTTTTCTCCCTCTAGTCTTCCTTTACTACCTTTTTAAAATATTAAGTGAATATTTTCAGATGTAGCCTGTTCTTTCATAATTTTTCCCCAAGTTTTTTAGTTATTTCCTTAGTGGTTGTTCTAGGGCTTACCACCTATATCTTACTTAGAGCATTTCTTTTTTTTTTAAAAAAATACTGATTTACTTATTTTTTAATCCTCACCCAAGGATATTTTTTCCATTGCTTTTCAGAGAGGGTAGAAGGGGGGTAGAGAGAAAGACATCAATTGGTTGCCTCCCACATGAGCCCTGACCAGAGCCGGGATCAAGCCTGCAACCGAGCTACGTGCCCTTGACTGGAATCAAACCCAGGACCTTCAGTCCGAGGGCCAACACTCTAACCATTGAGCAAAACCAGCCAGGGCCATTTGTCACCTTTTCTCAGTCTTGTGACACCAGGCCAGGCCAGTACACATCCTATGTGTTCTTTGGGAAAACAGCCCGACCCTGAGTGCGAGGGACAGGCAAGAGGTACAGGAGCTCCAGCTGGACGAGCTGCTGGCAGGGGCAAGGCTACTGCTTCCCTTTCCTTCTGCTCCCCCGTATCTCTGCCAGCCACGCGGAGGAAGGGAAAGTTTCTCTCAGAGGCCCTGTGACATAACGGAAAAAACAGACCTCTTCCCGTTACCTCTTGACTTCTGAGCCTCAGTTTCCTCACTGGTAGAATAGGGAGAGTATCACCTTCCTTGCAGAGTTTTCTGTGAGGGGTAAATGCTACAATGCACGTGTCTGGTACAGAGCAGATACTGAACAAAGATTACCTCCAACCCTCCCCAACACACAGAGCCATCACAGCCCTGGGAACACCGCATCTTCCAACAATTCTCGTGAACTGCAGCCCAGGGAGACCGACCCAGATGAACTTGAGTGGCGCAGGCACTTCTCTAGAGGGTCTCAAGGAAGAACCCAAGCTATTCCCCTGCGTTAGCTCCTCCTCTAAATACTCAGGATTAGAGAACCCCATGGCTTGGGCCTCGTAGGGCTGCCCTTCATAAAAGAATAAAGACTTCTCACATTGTGCTGAGTAGCAGAAGGTTCCTTAACTTTATATCAGAGCTGGAAGGCTATTGTGGGAGTGGCTAGAGAGTGGGGGACATAATAAATAACACTTGCAATCCAACCACATCTCTCTTTTTAAAAAAATATATCTTGATTTCAGAGAGGAAAGGAGAGGGAGAGAGAGAGAGAGAAACATCAATGATGAGAGAGTCATTGATCGGCTGCCTCCTGCACGCCCCCGACTGGGGATCGAGCCCGCAACTCGGGCATGTGCCCTGACTGGGAATCGAACCCCGATCACCGGGATCCTAGGTCGACACTCAACCGCTGAGCCACGCCCGGCCGGCACAACCACATTTCTTGACCCAACTGAACGTTTTATGTTGCCCCTGCAACGAGCCACCTCTCTGAGAGGGTGGCTAGAAAGTCACATACAAGGCTAGGTTAGACCTACTTTCTTTCCTCTGCACTTCCCTCCCATCCCTTCACAACCGGTACTGCCATTACCCAAACTACCACCAGAGCTTTACTTTCTTCTTTCGATGACCCTTCCAGCATCTTCTCCCCTTCCCGCATCTAGGACAATGTTCTATGAAAACTGAGATTCAAATTTGGGACAGTCTCTCTCAAAACAAGGCATTTGGCTCCTTTAATGTTTCCACTCTCTGCTGGAGAGTAAACAATCCCATATTGAGCCTCCAGAGTAAGCTAGCAAATGATCCAGGCCCTTGGTAAGGGAAGGAGGGAAGACTGAAAATTCAGGTATATTTCAGCGTGGATCTTTTTCCATTCCTCCCTTCAGGATAAACGGCATAGAAACCATAAACTTCTGCTCCAGAAAAACTGGAGAAAGCACTTGTTTATACAGAAATAGTCATGATGGTTTCCGATGACCAGTTTAGTAGGGCAATGTTGGAAGAAGAAGAGTCTTGTTAAATACAATAAAAACAGTAACATATCTTCCTATCCCATTATATCATGTTATTCACACAGTAGTATATGTTCTTCATTTTTTGTATCCTTGGCACTGACCACAGTGCCCAACATAAAGATTTTTCAAAAGACAAAATGCCTGTTCTCTTATTACACTTCAGGAAAGGTAAGAACCAGTGAACCGATTACTAATAAGTCCTATCTCAAGTGCGCCAGTAAGTCTGGGGCAGAAGTGAGCCCTATGACAGCGTGCGAGGTGGTGACAGCATCAAGGAGGAACCGACCAGTGAGCCAGGAGAGGAAGGCTAAGCGGGTCCCAAGGACACTGGTCTTGTCTCACTGCTCAGTTTAGGGTTTTGTGGCAGGCAGCTTCTGACAGCTCCCAAGGATCCCACCTCCCGTATTCACGGCCTTGTGTTGATTCCCTTCCCCTGAGCGTGGCCTGGACCTCCTGGCTTGCTTCTAGTGAAGTAATAGGACGACAGCCACAGGATGTCACTTCCAAGATTAGGCCCTCTTGCCTGCCAGCTTTGATTTAACCAGCTGCCGTGTGGGGAGAAGCTCGGCGGTGAGCCCACATGGCAAGGGCCTGATGGAGGCTTCGGCCCAATGTCCTTGAGGAACCAAATCCTACCAACCACATGAGGGAGCCCAGGAGGGGTCTTACCCAGTGGAGCTTGAGATAACTGCCCTGTGGGAGACCCAGAGCCAGATGATCCAGTGTTATTGATAAACCAGAAAGCTTTCTGGGGCCTGCTCTAGAACACATGCAGCGTTTTAATACCTTCACTGAGTGTGAGCTTTTCTCAGGTCTCTTCACTGACATTTTTACAAACTCTGATTCTACAGGACTTCAGCAGAAGGCTGATGTTCATATCCCATTTAACTTTGATTTTTGCTTCTTTTAGATGCAATTTCGAGCCCTTTACCTGACCTCATTTTTCCCTCCATATTTCTAAAATAAGGGTAAAACACTTCCGTCACAAATTGTTGTGAGCACTACAGCAAATGAGTAATAAAATATTCTCTTACAACAATCTGTCCTCATTCGAACCATACTTAACCTGCCAAGCCTGCCTAAGTCTTGCCACTTGGTGTCTAATCTTTGCTTGATAAACTCCTTGAATACAGGAACTGTCTTAAACTTTCAGGGGCATTTTTCTACAGACTTATAATAATGCCAGGCACTTGGTAGTTAATCAACAAATAAGTCTGAAGTTCTATGAATTCCATATTTATACCCACAAATTCCTTTTGCTAATCTCTCTTTCTACTCTTCTGAGATAGCCACTTTGTCATTACTTCCTTCTATCTCCTACCTTGTCTTTAACATCCTGTAACTTAGCTTTCCCTAAAACCCTCCTTATGCTTACCTGCAGACATTATCACAGGGAGGCATTTAAAGAACCATTCAAAGCCATTAGGATTATTGGCTGATAAGGAAATACAGTGGGAACAACTTCTGTTTTTTTCTGGCTTTCTAATTTATCAAAGTCAAGTTCTCAGCGTCTAAATGTTTCATAAGTACTTTCTAAAAGATTTCATTGTTTTGTTTTGTTCTTATCACACTTGAGTGCTTAATGAACATTTTCCCAGTGCTCTGGCATCATGCAGAGCTCTGCTGCCTCTTCCACCCTAAAGCCCAAGGAGCACAAGATCATGTGATTTTGTGAAAAGGGAAGACTTTAAAGTCCACTGGGAACACTTAGAAGCTTATAAATAAAACACTGGTGGGGCTTTTTCTAAGTGTTTGATGAATGAATGAACAAAATGAATAGAAGAACAACATACAATGAGTATAAGAAACAGAAAAGTGGTTTTCCTCTCATTACAGCAAACTGCTTAACATACATCTGGGTGGGGTGGAGTGGAGATGCAACATCTAGATACTTTACTGAATGTGGAGCTCCAAAATCATGCATTTAATATTAACCTGAAACTAGATTAAAATCCC